ACCATTAACAATAAAGTTCAAATTCAGTAAAACTACTAACTCCCTCTTAGAGCCATCTATATTTTGCATAATACTTCAGTGTTTGCTTGAGTCAGACTGAATTCAATGGGATTAGATAATAAGCTCTGGTGTCTTCCTGAATCAGAACAGAGGTTTTAATGCAAAGATAAATATTTAATGTAATATAATGAGATTGTTAATAAGCAGAAGAGAAAGGAGAGCTACTAACTGCAGAAATCAGATTTCAAACTGAGGAGCAGATTTCCAAGTCCTGCCATGGGCTTCACTCGCAATATCATCATTACAACCTGTAATAACGTAAGATCCTTTAGGAAGTATTTCAGCCTTTAGAACTGTGTGCACCTAACAGCATTTATCCTTACAAACAAGCTATTTACAGTCCCATTCCAGACCTTTTTCCTTTGCCAGAGACAGCAATCACTGTAGAATGAAAGATGAGCTACACTCATGGCTAGTTGGTTGTATTCCAGCACTGGTAAAACAAATCATTAAGATCAAAGGACCAGCCATTTTAATAAACTGTGTGCACTGTTGTTATTGTGACTTATGGCTTTGCTCTGCAGAGAGGGAATCTATAAAACAGCATAAAAGAGAAACCATTCTTTTACTGCATGGTTAAGTGTTAAGCATATATATTATACACATGTAAGTATATATAATACCTATATATTATAAGCATACCTATATATTTATACACATATGAGTAAAATTCTAGTTGTATATACATATATATGTGTGTGTCTAGGTATATAATTCCAGGTGCTTAGATGAAAGATTCACAGCACACTATCTTGGGAAAAGTACTTGTTTTATCTATAGATACCAGTTTTTGCAGATGTTTCCAGATTATAGTAATGGAAACAGACCTGTCAGTGTGCACATACGTGCGCCGAGGGCACATCCCAGTACTATACGGGTGCTGGTTCTTGCTGGCACGAGGCAGCTGTGTTGCTCTGTGCAGCTCGCAGGCGCTGTCTCCCTGCCGTTACTCATCCTCCTGCAGAGCACGGGAGCTCTTCTCTGCCCACATGCCTCAGTTTCCTTTTGCTAGAAGCCAGGATGTGTGAAGGGGAAGGGAGAAGAGGTAGATCAGGTCCTGACTTGCAGTCAGGACATGGCCAGACCTTATGATGGGACGCAGAGGAAAGGAAATGTTCCCTGATTCCCCAGTTTAGCCATAGGCTTCTCTGGCTTACAAAACAGTGTTGTTCTGTGCTGAGCAGGGAGCAGTTTTGTGATACAAATGAAAAGTATTTGGGGAACCAGTGCCATGGAGAATGGGACACATTCAAAATTATTATTATATAATTTAGATGAATGAGTTTTTATTTCCTCATGGCTGGATATTTAACCAGCAAAGACACCTGCCATCTATCCTCTGAAAATAGGATTCTCTGGAAGGGGTCTCCACCAGGCTCCAAAACAAAAGGGTGGCCAAACCCATTGCTCAGAGTTGGTGAAGGTTAGAAGTCCTAAGCCAGCCATAGCACATAGAGCGCTAGGTACAACCTCATCTGCCTTAAGTACTAACATATTGTTCAAAACATGTAGGGGGAATATACACACATTTGGTAGTGATCAACTGATTTTTTCAGGATCCTGGCTAGGCTAATATTGCTGGTCATCAGAAACCACTTGATTTGACTTCTGACCTGGAGAACTCAACACAGAAATTACTGAGGTAAAGAATAAATATGGAATGATACAGAAGCAGGCCCTTTTAATATTAAACACTTCAGTGCCCAATGATTTTTCATCATTTTCATCTGTTTCTCTATGCTACAAAAAGGGGGAGTAGACTTGCTCAATTTCAAGGTAAAATTATAACAATGATATAATTCTTTATACAAAAGAAAGCTTCTGAAAATGTTTAAATGGAAATATATATTTCTCACTTATTGCTTCATGAGGTCATCTTTAAACATTCATGAGTCATTTATCTTAAAATAAATTCTTCTCCATAGAGCTGCCTGCTTATTTTAACAAATATTTTCAATAATAAGTTTTTAATGTTTCCCTCTCTTCAGTATTTCAAACTACATTTTAGAGCCTGATTCCTTAAAACTAATGAATCCTTTATGATCCATTGCTGCTGTTGCTTAGCCACTGATTATATCACATACAAACTTTATCTTCTCTCTTATGACCAATGTTGTTATAGCCTGAAACAATTCCACCATATAGATAAAGTATTAAGTCTTTTGTGCAGGTGAACAGCTCTTCCATTTCCCGTGCCATTATCAGATTGGCCTATTCCTACAGGACTGCAGCATTTCTACAATCAGGAGAGTAATCAAAGTCTATTTCTCATTCTCTGAATATTGCTGATGAAAGAATGACTCTTATTCTTTCATGCTTAACTACGCAGAACAGCGCTATTCATTTAACTGTTTCAGGAATCTCTGAACCATACAGATAAATGGGCTTTTGGATGAGAAGGGATTATTCCACTGTATCAAGGCATGTGAGGCAGCACTTAATTTGGAGCATTAGTTACTTAGGGATACATTAGGTTAGACCGATATGTACAGAAAACTAGATTATGAGAAAATTTGGCTTGATTGACAGAACTAGATTATATAAAAGAAAATTTTGGATTTTGAGTCTAGTCTCTATATATTACTTACCAAATTACAATTCCTAATTACAAATAAATTTGAATGTTTGTAATTACAGAAGTATTTTAAGTAGGCTTTATTTTTTTTTTTACAAATATAAAAAAACAGTCTTTTGGTATATAAACTTAGCAAAAGTACTTAGCATTCAACAGCTGTGATAAGGGAATGCAAAAAGCATTGCAAACAACAGATTTTACTTTATTCCAACTATTCTTTCATATGATATAAATACATTAATCCTGAGACCCAAAGAAAACCACTCCATTTTCCTTGGTTTGGATTGAAATCAGCCAGTTCTGCCTATTAGAGATAACTGCTGGGTACAAACTATAAAACTTCAAGTAAGGGCACTGCCATCTTTGTGAACTCCTATTTTAATCTTACTAAAGACAGGTCCCTGTGCAAATGATGACACTCTGGCTCTCAACAGCCCTCAGGTTCAGTGGGCTGCACTTCTGGCTGATCTTAACCTGGAAACAGAAATCCTACTCCAGGATTTAAAGCACAACTGGGCTCACTGGAGCAGCTAGGGATCTGTGCCACATTTTGGATTTTTAACTGAATTTGAAACTCTTTTAAAAGTCTATATACAGAAGATTTGCTTTATAGGTCATATATGCTCATACATCTCAAGGCTGCAACTAAACACAGAGAGAAGTCCTATATAGAACCTGTAGATTATTTTGTGTGAAGGTTTTCTCCTTGTAATTTCTTTTCTTCTTTAGAGAAATCATAAATTTTCATTTCCAGTTTGCTGGATTCGAAATGTGCAAGTATAAAGAAGTCCTCACTTCACATTTTGATCAGAAAGCATTGACCGCATTGAATCAACTTGCCCATAGGAATATATTTATAGTGCTACAACTTGGGATCATGTATAGGTCAAACACATACCAGAAAGGTGACGTTTCCCTAGGAAAAGTAATTCTAGCTCTCGTTCCACCCCAGTTTGTAGCTCATACAACCTTAGTTGTGCTGATTAGCATCAATAGGTATTTTCTGCAGTACAGTAGAACTGAATGATGCTGATGATTTCATTTTAAAAATGGCCATTATTTTTTGTACTGATTGGAATATGCTATACTGAGGAAAATCCTGATTTGGGATTAATATCTGCATACAGGAGGGCCTGTGCCAGTTAACTATTTCATTTTCTTAAAAAACACACCTTAAGTGATAAAATAAAAAAATCTGTGCATAAACCAGCCCTTTTTATTCCTTTCCCTATTTTGAAGGGTATTTACCCAATGAATTATTGCTGGTAATTATTAAATTACCAGATAATCACTGAGGAATTATCAGCTCACTTATGATAAAATATTAATTTTCTCGGACTCATTGACTAAGTTTGACTATCAAATTCTTACAGAAATTGTATCAGGGCAACATTTTCCTCATTCTTCTCTGAGAAGACATTTCATTACCATGCAAATGGAAATGCCTCTGAGCAGGCTAATTGGTATATGCGACATCTAACATGCAAACCACAGTCTTAAGCCACTCCACAATTTATACAAGAAAGTATAATTCCAATTTGACTGGAAATACCATTGTTTTTTTGAGATCTGGTATTTATATATGGCAAAATGGTGGGTGGATGTCTATTACATGTGCAAAGATTAGAAAGAATTGTGTGAGATACTATGCCTCATCAACAAAGAAAGAACATTTAAAAGAAATGCACTTGGTAATTAGATTAATAATGGGCAATTAATTTGATAGAAGCAGGCAGCCTATTTGAAAGCAACAGAAGTACATAATGTAATCAAAGCATGTTTGGCCCAATTACTTGCATTTGTTTATTTATTTAAAGGCATGTTGTATGCACACATTATCACTATATTTTAATATTTATTTTAGAAGAGACTGTATTATTCAACAGGCTGGGAGAACACTGAAAAACACCACACATTTACTTCTAACAATAGATATGGCCACTGAACGGTTTAGGCAACTACAAATTCAGATTCAAACACAAAATCTCGGGAACCATTTTCTGTAGGATGGGACAGAACCAGACTTGCAACTGTATCAGAAAGGACGCAATCAGCATCTGTAAAACTGGCTTCAATTTTAACACAAATGAAAAATCTATTCAAACGTGCAATTTTGGCATGTGAATACAAACCTGTAACTTAACACACCTATCTGCCAAATAGCCAAGAACCAGGCCTTTGATTACCATCTAAACCCACTGTCACTCTCAAAAGCGTGTTAAGGCACACTAATCTTTCTGACATGCAGTCATTTCTCTTAAGTGACTAAACATGGAGCTACTACAGCCGGCAGCAGGCAGTCATTCATTTCACACTGTGAAAACACTTTCTAAAGACAAGTCTGTTATCAAATGCGGTTATTTACCTGTCATAGTCTTGGCAAATCTCCCCAACGGCTACCAATGCTTTCAAGTACTCGTTGGGTTGATAGGGGTGGATGTAGTGCAGTGAGCAGCTGTTCCTAGGATCACCATTTGATGCAGTGAAATCTATAGCTACCTGGAAAAGAAGAAAAGTCAATGTGTTGTGGAGCTCTTCTGGGCATAAGTATAACCACACCAACCAGGTATCTTTACCAGTTTTCTGCAGAGATTGCAGCCTTAAAGCAAAGGTCATTTTACAGCATACTTCATCGAATTTGAATTAGGATAGTATCGATAAATATGTCTAAAAGTAAGTGACAGATTAGAAAATAAGAGATAATAAAACCAAAATGGCATAATTAGGAAAAAAATGAACTGCATTATTATTGTACGTGGAAAATTATGTTCTAATGCAGATGAATCAAATTAACTATCTCTAGGTTCTCATACTTAATTAAATTATTCCAGCTCAGGTGATGTTCAGGACATAAAAGCTGTACAGCAAAAATGTCCTGAGAAAGTTAAAGGTCCTACTAAAACTATAACTTAAAACTCCAGTTAGAGACATTTCTTAGCTATTTTAAACCTTGCTGTGGCTGTAGTAAAAGTTGTAGATACTGCCTGTCTGGTATTTTTTATCTTCAAAACATCTAAGCATTAAAAAATTAACCCTCTCCATTTCATACATGATAGCAAGTTTAAAGTTGAGCTGCAGGGTAAAAATAAAGCTTGAATCCTGCACAGATGTTTGTGTTGAAAAGTCTTAGAGAAGATTGTGGGAAGCATTCAACACAAAAACAAATATTAATGAATTCTATTAAAATTAATTTCTCCCTTTTAAAATGCTCTTTATACTTCTCACTGAAGATATACTCTGGCATGAATCTTATAATCATAGAATCTTAGAACAGTTTGGATTGGAAGGGACCTTTAGAGATTGTCTAGCCCAACCCCCCTGCAATGAGCAGGGACACCGCTAACTAGATCAGGCTGCTCAGAGCCCCGTCCAACCTGGCCTTGAAGTTTTCCAGGGATGGGGCCTCCACCACCTCTCTGTGTTTCAGTGTTTCACCACCCTCATTGTAAAGAATTTCTTCCTTATATCCAGTCTAAACCTACCCTGGTTTAGTTTAAAACCATTACCCCTTGTCCTATTGCAACAGGCCTGCTAAAAACTTTGTCCCCATCTTATAAACCCCCTTCAAGTACTGAAAGGCTGCAAGAAGGTCTCCCCAAAGCCCTCTCCTCTCCAGTCTGAACAAACCCCAACCCTCTCAGCCTTTCTTCATAGGAGAGGTGCTCCAGCCCCCGGATCATTTTTGTAGCCCTCCTCTGGACCTGCTCCAACAGGTCCGTGTCCTTCTTGTGCTGAGGGCTCCAGACCTGGACGCAGTGCTCCAGGTGAGGTCTCACCAGAGCAGAGCAGAGGGGCAGAATCACCTCCCTCGACCTGCTGGCCACGTTTCTTTTGATGTAGCCCAGGGTACAGTTGGCCTTCTGGGCTGCGAGCGCACATTGCCAGCTCATGTCCAGCTTTTTATCCACCAGTACCCCCAAGTCCTTCTCCGCAGGGCTGCTCTCAATTCCTTCATCCCCCAGCCTGTATTGATACTGAGGGCTGCCCCAACCCAGGTGCAGGACCCTGCACTTGGCCTTGTTGAACCTCGTATCTTCCTATAACATGACTGTCATGGACCAAAAAGCCCTCTTCTGAAATTTTGGTGCTGCTTTCTAGGAATTCCTAAAAGGAGCAACAAGAAACCCATAGGGTCTCATAGAGGGAACAACGCCATTTATGAACGTCCTTATGATTTTGTTCAATGCCTTCTTCCTCTGAAACCACCCTTATACCTGGATCTTCAATAGATACAAATGCACAGAGCCTTGCTGAACGCTGCAAAAAGAACTTTGAAGTCCCAGCTTGCCTCTGTAAATGTGCAGCTTCTCCAGCTGGAGCCTCTGCTTGGCACAGGGAAGACTATTTTATGCAGCTATAAAATGAAAATGAAGCATGACATTTCGTTCTCCCTTAAAAAAATGACAGTCCTCCTGAAACGTATTTTTTATTTCTAAAAACTAAAAGGGAAAAATCATACAAGGTCAACCCAACATGGCTTTTCCCCATTGTTTCTGATTTTCCACCTCGAACTCTTGGCTGAAGAAAAATATTTTTCACTGGGCTCTAGGTAGCTTGGAAAGCCTTTCGTCGCCTTGATCAACTACGAACCCCCTGCACCTCACCACATGTCAGTCGGGAGATACGAGCTTGATTTGGCTTGCAAATAAAGCAATCTTTCACCTCTACTTCCCTACTCACTATTCATGCACTGAAGCAGTGAGTCTGTTTTCCACATACATCTTTTTCTGAAAATGATAGCTTGATTTAACTTGAATAATTTAATGGGATACCTCTCATGTTCTCCCTGGCATGCATGAACGTAACTGAGGAAGAAAGAAACACTTGTGGTTTGTGAAACCTAAGGTAAATCCATAGATACCTTGTATGGCTTAGCTTAGTTTTGGGACACTTATTTTTAAAGAATCTTAGCCAAGGTGTGCATATTTTCCTAAAAAGAGGGATATTTTTTTCTGATATTAATTTAACTTTAGGTTTTTGTTATGATTATAGAAAGTGCAAAAATTTCACTGTGTGATAGGAAAACAGGGCATTCCT